TTTTTCCCTTTACATTTATTGGAAGTGACCATTAATTATAAACAGCTTAATTATTTTTTAAAATGCGATCATGAGTCAACAAATGATTTTTTGCTCTTTACCTCTTTATCTTTGTTTTTTTTCGGGGCCTATGTGCAAAAGTTGCCTCACCAACAATCTCGTATTTTAATGTCTTCATTCGAAAATTAATTTAGTTATTAAACCATTAATTAACTACCGAGCATAATTAATAAAATAAAATAAGGTGGGTCAAAGTTACTTTTACCCATTACTACTACTACTATTTATATAAATCTATAGAGAGTATATATAGGTACACAAATTCGTGTGTAAGTCAATGCAACGGTTAGACGGGTAGACCCATCATATTATATAAACAAACAAATAAATATAAACAAACAAATATACACTTATATTTTTCTAACGAAAAATATGCATATTCAGGTCGACCTAACAAGGCGAACATAAAACTACAATTTTGTTATTATTATTATTATTATTCTTATTATTATTATTATTATAATACATGAAATTAAATGGTCTTTATCTTGGGATTGAGAAAAATAAAATGCATAGATTGTATAAATTTGAATGAAAAAAGAAATTTAATTTGATGGAAAGTTACAAGGTGTTAGTGGCAAGGCATAGGGGGACAAAGATGTCCCCTACATATGTTGATGTTGAGGGAATATATGAATGAATACACAAACAAAGCATAAACATAATAACAAGGATATAAAAACACACACATATATATTAATAATATACACAAAGCATAATTCCTTCTTGTTCTGATTCTTGGTCTCCTCTGACATTAACCCAATACTATTTTCAACGCCATTAATTAAGGGATAATTAAGCTAGAATTCGTAAGGGATGAGACACCCCGATAATTTCGTGGTCGAGCCATGCACCCAAGCCATTAATTAATATTTCAATCTACACAATAAATACATATAAGTTAAATTATTTATATATATATATGTGACTTTTATTACAACATGAAATTATATTTAATATATATATATAAAATATACATTATATATATTTTTCGTCAAAAGATAGTCTATGAAATGTCGTTTCAATCTACACTGTTTTTAATTTTAGTTTTTGTTTTGATTCATTTTGTTATTATTTTTCATTTTAATATTTGAGGGGATTGTGTTATGTTGTATGGGCATATGATGTTGCAGGCAACAGTAGCTTTTTTGGGAAGCAGAATTTGTACAATTAATTATAGGGGATTAATACCTTGAAAAAAAAAAAATACAAAAAAATTCATACTTTGTCTCCACAGTCTTTTCATAATGCTTTTTTGTTAGCATATAATTATAATATTTCTAAAATTTATCATTGGATATTGTTAAAATATGTAATATAAATGAATTCCAACAGAATTAAAATTAAAATGAGCAATTCATTATATTTTTATATGGCTAGCTAGAATAATCTATTTATTTGGCTAGCATAAACAATAAGCAATTGTGAATTAGATTCAAGGTAATTAATGTGTATATTTTTATTATCCAAAAACAAAAAATAATGATAATATTCCATAAGAAGCTAATCTTTTTCTGAGACACACTTTGCTAATCATTTGTGTTGCATAAATTTTAAAGGTGTAATAATAAAGTGGGAAAATACTACATCCGTCTAGATTTGAAACCGTCACATCATCATGTAATAGTCATAAATAGTTGATCTAACGGTTACAAACTTCGACGGAATAGTTCCGTAACCGAACAGTTGAATCTCATATATTTGTATATGGTATAAGTTCCATCCATGACCTGACCTATTTATATGTAACTCAAAAGCTGCTATTATTTACATGGGAAAAAGACTAATTATAATAAAATAGCAGAATCTAGATAAGAAATTATATAATTTTATATATATTGTTTGTCTCGTATTTATTTTTACAATGTATAAGACCAAATATACAATCTTTATTTATTCACTGACTGAATAATTTAATCATAAACTAAAAGCAAAGCACACGTGTTTAACTAAATTCTTTTTAGTATGTTAATCTATATAATCATAAAAATACTAATTAAGCTAACTTACACTTAGTTATATAATCACATAATCTAGACAAATAATCATACAGACACAAATATTGTCGTTAAGCTACCTAACAATTCATCAGCCAAATTTACTTCGTTACAATAAATACATATTTATAATATGAAATGTCGCAATTTTATTTATCTTATATTTTAAATTATTATAACATTTAAATATGAAATTATATATGTAACTGTTGGGAGAATAAGATTTATACCACGCATAATTAAATTAATTATTCGGAAGACATAGGTTGAATGAACATAAATATTGTTGGGTGAGCTATTGCATCCCAGACCACTTTGACATACTTTCCCGCAATTTATGGGGCAATGTCTCTCATAATAATAATAATAATAATATAATAATAATAATAATAATAATAATAATAATAATAATAAAAAGATTATATTTGTTTTTGTCCTAATACTCATAATTGTCTCTTACTAATAACCATATTAATGAACTAAGTTAATCAATACATATATTGCAAACTCAAAAGAAATGTTTCATAACCTCATCACTTCTTTTAAGAGACAATAAATATGCAAACTCACTCCCTAAACTACAAATACTTAGACCCAAGAATAACAACATAAACCCCTAATTATTACCTCAACACACACCTATATAATACCACATCTTCACATTCTTCTTCCCCAACCAAACACACACACAAACACAAAAACTACAAAATTCGTCGATCATCGTCTTGCTCGACTTCCGAAGCGGGCTCGTCCTCCTCGTCCCCCGCGGGCCCACTGCAATCTCCGTGCCCTTCCCCGAAGGCCCGCACGTGGTCCTTGAGCGACCGTTTGTGCTTGAAATCCGAGCCGCAAATGCAATACCAAAGCTTTCCGCAATTCTTCTCGTGCGTCCTCCAGTCGCCCCTAACCGCAAACGCTTTTCCGCACTTGCGGCAAGCGAAGGGCTTTATTCCGTGCTTCCGTTTGTAGTGCGTCTGTAGGGTTCGGAAGTCTTTCAACGGCTTTGCCCTCGGGTGGTCGATGTTGTTGCGGCAACCTAGGGCACAACAGTAGCACGGGAGCCGAAGCATGCCGGTTGGTTGAGCGCCACGTAAGGACTCGGGCCCACGCCTGTATTGCGACCCGTGGCCCCACATGTGCATCTATACAAAGGCAAAAAAAAAAGATAAATAAATAAATTTTTACACTTATTAATCAAAGAATGGTGATAATGGTTCATAATTTGTGATGATTGGGGAGTTAATTAATTTTTCCAAAAAATTTTCCCACTTTTTTCATCCTATCCTATAACTAAAAAAGACGAATCTTTACATGTGCATTAATATGCTTTATTGTTTGTGCCCTTAATTTGGGCTTGCATTGGTCAATTCTTGTGAAAAGAAAATTCCTTTGGATTAATAAGAACAATTATCCAAACAAAAAATACTATATCATAAAATAAAATACATAAAGGTGAAGAAGGACAAGATATATAATAGGTAGATTGATCTATTAATGTACGTATTCATGAGACTCGAGAGATAAAGATTATTCTATTCATATTGCAAATCATTGTTTGTTCTTATTTTAAGCTTCACTTCAAAAAAGTGCCTTGCCTTTTCATTTTAATAAACTAGAAACAAATAATAAAAAACATTAATGAATATTGTAAGGAAAAAAGGAAATTAAGAGAAATATGAATATCAGTTGTGAGTCGTTCCACATTGATTTGACAGGACAAATGAGTATTGTTAATAAGCCTAGTAGACTATTCTTCCCATCACCATTTAGTTTTAGAATGCTTCGATGTGGTGGGACCGCGCCCTTATGTCCCGATTATAAAAAAAAAATTTGACAGGTACCTATGGAGGAACAATTTCCAAAGTGAAGCTATACATTTTTTCATTTTGATTGTAAAATCTTTATAGGTATGGGCTTTCAAAGTCCTTTAATTAGATGGGTTTGAAAAAAACAGTGAAGATTGAATATTATTAATCTGAAAATCCCTAGCAACAGATAGAAGTTTCAGTTCAAAATGTACAGTTCCCAATTTGTGTTATATATATCACAGATTTCAAAGCTGATCAGTACACTGGATACAAAGCATAAGGAACATTGCTTGAGTTGTTCAATCACATAAATGAAGTGAACCCCTTTCCCCATTTTACCTTTTTTTTTTT